GTCGTCAGGCACGGGATCGGGGGGTGGGGGGTGGATCGTAGTTGGCTGGCATTGGAAGTCATGGATGTGACACCTCTAGGTTCAATATTCAGTTCAACTCGTTCTGTTAGAATTCAAAAAAAAGGTAATTAAATATTTGAACTTTTGAGATTTTAACCATTTTTATGTATTTGAGAGTGTTTTAATGCATGAAAATGATTGAGTGTGCTCAAGAATGTGTTCCAAGTGTTTGGTGTGAGTTTCGGCAAAATCTAAGAATGTTGCTTTTGGAGCTTATAAGCGATGCTAAGAGTTCGAGCGCAACCGCGTTGCACTTAATCAAAGCTCCAAATAGTGAAATTGCAGCATCATGGTCTCGAGTTTTTATGGGTTTTTTAGCATCGCAGTGCTAGGCCATTATAAACTCATTTAAATATATTTTAATTCATTAATCTAATTATTTTAATAGAGCAACGGGCCTAGCAGGAGAGAGAAAAAAAATATATATTTGGAGAGAAATATTGTCATTTTGAGCCACTTCGCATTGTTTTTAACCTCGACCTTCTGTGGAAAGTTATTCAGATCGAGGTAGATCACATTATGCCTATATTAGTTTTCAAAAATATGAAATTTCTGATTAAATTTATATTTTTGTTAGGAAAAAAATGCGTATAAATTTACAATAAAATCCTTTCATCGTGTAACTTTTTATATGTTATTGAGATCATGATTATAAATATTTTGAGTATTTTATGAAAATTTTATAAAAGATATTTTAAATTTTGTGCCATTTTAATTGAATAGATCGAAAAAAATACGATCACTAAAAATAATGATGTAGAGCAATAAAATATTTGCAATGGTGTTTTACTTAATCATTTATAATTTAGCTATGTTCTGACATTATGAAAATTTGCTGAATAGGAAGTTTCGTTGTCTATCGTTATAGAATAATGTGAAATTCTAACATGTGCTAAATTTTACTTTAATTATTATAATGTGATAAAATATATGCTTATGTGATGAAATGTATGCTTATATGATTGAAAATTAAGCATATATATATTGGGACCTATAAGGATCCAGAATTCTTTGATATTTTGTTTATGTCAGGGATTTTTTTGGTTCTTATAAAGCATGTTTTGGTGACTATATATAAGCTATGCTCTTATACCTACGATCATGTTCTAGTGGTTATAAGTCATATTATAGTGCCTATGAGCATATTTTGGTGCTATAAGTACAAAATGGAGACACAAAGGCTGAAATTCTTTGAGATTCTATTTGGGACTAGGATATGTGATATGAAATACTTTGTAATATAAACTATTCTATAATTTATCTGCTCAGTATGCTTATCTGTTTGTTATTATTATTTAAATAAATTGGATAAATACTATGCTTTTCTTTCCTTTCTCAATGCAAATAATCACTATTTGCATTGAGAAAGGAATATTTATTATATTGTATTTAACTACTTTTAAATATTCATTAAAAATTAAGTTAATAAAAGAATATTTAGAAATTTAGACCAATTTTGTAGTCTACTGAGGTGTTATAGCTCACTGTTGTTTGCAGAATCTGAAAAAGAAAAGGAGATTGTTGATTAGCAGTACATGATCAAATCTTAATTAGGTTATTAATGTATATCTATTTTGATTTTTTGCACAATCATGTCTAATTTTTTATTATTCATTTTTATAGCTTCTGCTAATAGCCATATAATGTAGTGTATATTTATATACGGTTGTTAGAGGGATCATAGTTGATAGGTAACGTTGGTTAGATGGATCGTAGTCAGTAGGCGTCGGTGGTCAGAGGGACCATAGTTGGTGAGAAATGGTGGTCCAACTACGATTGCAGGCTCGGCGATGGTCCAACAATGGTCGAGCAGATCAACATAAAGTTCAATGACGATCATGTGGTTGATGGCGGTCTGGCAGTACAATAGTTGAGTAGAAGTCCGGTGGCAGTTGGTGGCCCTGCGGTGAACTGACGTTGATCGGCAGCCGGGAGGTAGTCTTACGACGGTTGATAGATGTTCACCGCTAGTGGAGCTCTAGATCTTTGAGGCCTGTTAGCTCTCTCAAATCTGTAACAAAAGGTCCAAGCCCCCCAACCTCCCTTCATATGAGAAGTGAGGAACTATTTATAGATTTTTTTTTTTATATTGACATGCTCCGTAAATACGGAGAAAATCCATGACAAAATTAGAATGGTCAATTGGATGGCTCATATCTATTCTCTCAATCATAGAGCATTCATCAAGCATTTAACTGCCATAATAATGTTGAAATCAAGCGTTCTTCACTACAGGAAAATCACTTATTACCGGCGGAATTTTCCGGCGGCTTTCCGGCGGTCAAATTTCCGGCGGCTTTCCGGCGGCGTTCCGGCGGTTTTTGACGGCTTAAAATTTCCGGCGGCTTTCCGGCGGTTTTCCGGCGGCTAATTTCCCCGCGAAATTTTGCGACGGCTAATTTCCCGCAAAATTATCCCGCGGAATTTTCCGGCGGCTTTCCGACGGCGTACCAGCTGCTTTACATAACTAGTTTATTTTAATAATCAATTAAAATAAAAATTTAAATTAATAATGTTTAATTATAATATTCAGAATTTTTTAATATAAATAAAAAAATACTTAGTTTTAACAGTTTTGCAGAAACGGCGCATTGGTCAGGGGGCGGGCAGCGGGAGAGGAGGTCCACGGTTCGAAACTCAGCGAAGACAGCGCGGGAGCGGGCTCGTTGGCGCACTCGGGCTCGCCTGGCTCACGCGAGCGCGGTCCGACGCGGTCTGGTCCGGCGCGACTCAAAGCCTGGCGCGACCGCCCGCCGGAGCGGGTTGCTGGCGTGCCGCCGGAGCCGCTCTAAATGTTTAATGGGCTTCCTCTATTACAATTAAAAAAAGAACAAATTCCACTAATTTAGTCTCACATCACTTAAAATGTAAGATTATTCTTATTTATAAACACTAAGGAGACCACCTCTTATTAGTATTTGTTATTTGAGTTGTTCAAATTCTAAAATTGGGTTAGGGCCGAGATTGTTTAGTTGGTATAAAAAGTAATACTTTGGATTTATTTGAATGAGTAAAAAATAAATGTAAATATTTTTATTTTATTTTATTTGAATTAAAATAAGTGAAATGTGAAGTCCAAAATTGATGATTTTGGCGCAGTGCTAATGGTGGTCGATACGTGACAGCAGTGGTGGTTATTGATCGGCGGGTGGCAGGGACCGACAATAGGTGGTGGCGACGGTGGGTGGTGGCATCCAGTGATGGTGGTGGTCTACGACAAAAGTGGTGGTTGGCTATGGGTGGAGGCAATCAAACAAGCTTACTTGTGATGTAAACGCGGTTCTTGCTCAAAATTAGGCGAGTTTAGTTACATCAAAAATGAATTAAAATAGTTTATACTATATTTACTTTGCATTTCTTTTTTTCCAATCAAACACTAATATTTTCAAACTTGTGCATTTGAAATACTTTGCACCCACTTTACCCCTTAATTAAAATGTAGGAAAAAAATTCGTGTTCACCTAAGGTTAAGGATAGAGAAATTTGTAATAATAATAATAAATTGTTTACATTAGGCAAAAGCTCTCATTGAGCGTGGGCAAAAACCATAAATTAATGTGAGTAATTTTATTAAAATATATATTCTAATTAAATAAAATTAAGGTTGGGCATTTTCCCACCCTCACTAGTAAGTAGTTCAACCCGTGTTTGTTTAGATGACGTGTATCGACTTTATAAGTGATGGTGTGCATAGATGGTATTAATGATGAAATCAATAGTATATAATAATCAAGTGATGGTGGTCCATAGACCATTGTCAAGCAACAGTGGTGAGGAGAAATAATCTAAAAATTGTGATTAAATGATGATGATTGTCAAATGACTCAAGTTGGGAGACCCGATTGGGCAATGATGGATGAGCAAAGAGTTAATAAGTGATGATGATGATCAGTGATGTTGAATGTTACTCGGGGCTCTAAAATTCTTTAAATTTCAAAGCCCTGATCTCCAATTAGCTAGAAGTCAAAGTCAAAGCTTATTTTTCTTGAAAAGAATAGGAGTCTATTTATAAAATTTTTAATGTTAATTTGATAAATTTAACTTAAGTCCCAAAACACTTCTTGAAACTACTTATATATGCTGGTTTCCTTAATCATAGAGTACTCTTTAGGCATCTAAGTGCCTTAATAACATTAGAATTTATTTGTCATATTATTTTAACATCTAAGTGCCTTAATAACTTCATAATTGATTGATCTACAATCATTGGATTCCTCTTATTGAGAACCTCATTTTAACTATAAGCTAGCATTTGAAATTCAGAGATCCTTTGGTCATTCAATAAATGTCAAGAAGTTTCCTACTACGCTTTGAATGCTTGATTTATGCTCATTTAGAGTATGATCAAATCACCTTCAGTGTCATTGGAGGTAATCTTATCAAAATATACCCAGTTAGGCTATAAATTTGATGAAATTGTAGTATGTATGGTCGTAAATTTTTCTCAAAAAATTTTTCTATTCAAATGTTACATCAAATTTCATTCTTTTATCAAATGAATTAATTTTTTGGTGACATATTAATATCATGTTTAGATAAGAAACTAGGATAATGATTCACCAACGTTAACCCATCACTCTCCTTTTTATATAAAAATTATATTTTTAGAAGGATAACAATATAATAAATATCTAAGTTTATTAATCATAAATATAATATTAAGGTTTCATTTGATATGATTAATTTTTTTCTTAATTCTTAAAGAAGATTGATAATTTTTATACTAAAAAATTATTTTAAAAATCAGTAAAAAAAGTCGTTGCAAGCAAGCCTAAATCAGTTATAAATTCATAAATTTCACTTAATTAATGAATAACCGAAGTACGGCACATAAGCCAAACAAAAATTCTTCAGCATGAATTTATTGAAACATAGGACATGTAAAATTCTCACTCTGTATAAATTAAAAATAAATTAATTTAAAATTAAGACAAACGTGGCTCATAAACCTTATAAAAATAAAATAAAACTGCGCCTTTTCAATTCCTTAATGATAAAGCTCCATACTGGAAATTCCTCACAGAATTTCCATCTTCCTCTTTCTCAACATAGCCCATCAAAAGAGAAGAGAGATCCAAAGGATCGGAACTTCTGAATCACCACTGCTTTCTTCATCACAAGGCTCGATCTTTTCTCTGATCGATCTAACGCTAGCAGGGAGAAAAGAAATTAATCCAGATCATAGAAATCAAGATCTAATTTCATTTGCATGGACGCCGCTCAGTGGTCAAAGGTAAGCTTAATCAAACTTCAAAGTGTTCTTAAATCGGAGAAATATATATCTACCGGCCGCCTGTTAATTAATTACTAATTACAATTAGCTTAATAATTAATTAAATCTCAGGAAGCAGCTGTAGCGGAGACGGCGGCGACGAAGGCTCCGGCGATCTCGGAGAGAAAAAATCGTAGGAAGAATGATCAGAAACAGCTTAACTGCCCTCGCTGCAACTCAAATAATACTAAATTCTGTTACTATAACAACTACAGCCTCACACAGCCACGTTACTTTTGTAAGACTTGCCGCCGTTATTGGACGGAAGGTGGGTCCCTCCGTAACATCCCCGTCGGCGGCGGCTCACGGAAAAACAAACGGTCGATAACTGCCACGTCATCATCTACACCTTCTTCTTCTTCCATGCAGAACCACCCAAAGTTCAGTAGTACTGATCAAGTACGGGATCTGAACCTTGGGTTTCAACAAGGCGGAGGATCTGGGTTGCCGGAGCTGGGGATTTTGAGGGGTGGAGGGATGTCAGGGAGACAGATGGGAAGTAATTTCATGCACGAGGTTTTCGGGTTGCAGGAATTAGGGTTAGGGTTTCAGGTTGGTGCAGGTGGAGCTACAGATCATGATGAAGGAAGAGTTTTGTTTAGCTCAAGTGCTCCTCGTGATGGGATTTTGGGTCAGAATAGAGGGCTGGGAGGAGAGACGCAGGGGTTTTGGAATGGGATGATGGGCGGTGGAGGAAGTTGGTAGACGAAGAAAGATAGAAAAGTGAAGAAGAAGAACATGAATTGAAGTACTGGTTCGTGAATAATTAGGGTTTGTGTTATTTTATGCTGTTTGTTTGGCTTTGAGGGTGAGTTACAGAGATTTCTTAGTTGATTTGGAGTTTGTTTTCTTCTCACTAACACAGCTAGCACAGGAGCCATATAACTCTTTAGCTAGTGTTTCTTTCTTATATTGCCATTGTTATGGGCAAAATGAAGCTTTTTTTTTTATTTAGGCTTCGAAGGTGTATTCTCTAATTAAAGGTATTTGCTTAGTGAAAGTTGGATTTGGTGAAGGGTTCAAATCAAAAGATCGGGACTGCTTTTGGTTTCTATTTTATATATAAAAGGTTTGTAATGTAGCAAAAAATAAAATATTTATGACTTCATATATATTTTTTACATTAAAATGGTGAAAATTGTGTTAATTTAGGCTTCGTTTTTAACGACTTTTTTCCTGTTTTTTTAAAGCGATTAATAGTAAGAAAATCGTCCCAAACAAAATGTAAGTATTACTTATCTCTAATTTTATTGCCTGTTTTGGCTAGAAAGAAAAAAAAAAGAATGTAAACATTAAAGCTACCAATTTTAATGGAACTGTGTGTGACATTTTTCCTTTTTCTGTTCTGCACATAAATCTGAGTATGTTAACTCCATTTTTATGCAATTTCTTCTTCGACTTTTGTCCTCCCTGTGAACCAGCTAGCTCTGATTTGTGATGTCTCATCAAACCCTTTAAAGATTCTTCTTGACATGAAATAACAAGCAGGAGAAATCTGAGCTGAATGACTAATTGCAGGTAAAGGCACATCATTTTACCTTCTTCGGTACTACACTATCGCATAATAATTTGCTACACTCATTACATTCTAGATACAGCTGCCGCATGAATTTGAACCATTATGATTTCTTATATATTTTCAAAAAAAAAAAGTTAGTAAAAAAATTAAAAATTAAAGTTTTATAACAAAAGATTGCTTCAAAACTAATAAAAAAATCATCCAAAATAAAATCTTAATGAAGCAATGCTGCATTTATGAAAAACACAGCTGAATAGAAGTTTTAAAGAAATTATATTAATGAAAAATTGTTCATTTCAATGTGATTTGACAGGTAAACTATTGGAAATAAATTGACCAGCACTAATTATTACACGGTATAAGATGGGCCACACCTCATATTTTCATTTTACTTCTTCAATTACTATAGATAGAGATGTATTGCATTTTTCTTAGAGTTCTATGTGTCATATTCTTCGCACCAGATTTTCTAAGGAAAAAGGTTTTGTAAAATCTCTCAAGCTTTCCTTTTCTCTGTCTTCCTCTTGCGTACTGGTCGCAGTTTCTCCATCATCCAAGATAGCACAATATGGTATAAGATAAAAAGTCTCGTCTTGAACTGTATCTTTTGCCTGCTCACGCATCGGCACCGTCGCCATGAACAGCCCGTTTAAGCTCCTAATTAATGGTTATGGCGTCAGACCTTTAGAACAATCACAATTTTCTAACTAAAAGGCCGTCGTCTACCATCACAGCTCTCTTATATTGCTAGACAGCAACAAAGTTCTGTAGGAATAACAGAAATTTCCGGCGGGTTTTCCGGCAGAACATTAGCGCGACCGACGGATGCGACGGCGAGCGGCGGTACTTTCTGGCGATCTGTGTGGCACACTTTCTGCTCTTTCTTCTTACGATATGTGCTGAGGTTTCATTTTCTGTCGCTAATACAAGGAAAAAAATCTATTGATATCAACAACTTTCTTTGATGCTTTGATCTTAACCAAAGATAGCACCTTTGATGTAGCCCATAGATCCTGAAAATCTGATCCTTGGTCGTCTTTACTCTTCAAGATGTGCGGCCACCTTCTTCTTCCTCGGCACATTTTTCCTTGGGTATAAAGGAACTTTTGACAATTCTTGGTTCCTTTGCTACAAATTTTTTTATGAATATTGGCGATCTTTTTCTTAGAATCTTTTTGTTGAGGTATCATATTCTTATTTTAGGTTTTAGTTTGGTAAATAAAGCTAAGCAAAATATTAGATGATTTAGGCAAGAGAGTTTAGTTTGAGTTGGATTAGGCTAAGTTATGCTTAAAATTATATAACTTGTTTTATAATTAGTGAAGAATTTAAATTATTAAGCGAAATAGTTAAAAAAATTCCTGTTGGGATCTCAAAAATTTCATTAGATCATTTTTTTAATAAAAAAATAGTATGGATCTTAAAACACCTAAAGCACTTTAATTTTAATTTTTAATGAAAATTATGAATCTCAAAATTAATTTTTGAATTGTTGCAACCCCAATTTTGAGATTAATGCTTTATTTAGAGTTTAGGGTTTATTACTACTTATTAAAGCACTTTTTTAATACAAAATTAAATTTTTTTTGCTAGAAAACTTCTTAAAGCAATAAGAAAGACGTCCCAAACAAAATCTTTTGCTTATTAAAATAGAGTTTAAAAAAAATTTTAAAATTTTAATAAGCAATAAATAAGCCATCCCAAATGAAACATAAGACTTTATTTAGGCCAACTTTTTTACTACTTTATGGAGCAATTTTTTAATACAAAACTTTCAAATGAAAAATTTTTGTACTAAAACAATTGCTTCATAAAGTAGTAAGAAAGTTGTCCCACGTGAACCTTATGGCCTTGTTTGGAATTGCTTTCTTATAGATTTTTTAGCTTTTAAGTATAAATATTTTTTGAACAAAAAATTGTACTAGAAAACTGTTTTAGAAAACATTAAGAAAGCAGTCCCTAATAAAGCCTAAAATTAATGTGGTGACAATTAGTTGCGATCAAGCATAGGTGATCGCAAGTTATATTTGTAATATTTGTGATCGTCTGAGTGACAAACTAAGTGATGAAAATTAGTTGCTTTCTTATTGCTTCTTAAAATAGTTTTTTAATATCAAAATTTTAATTTTTATACTAAAAAATTATTTTAAGAACCAGTAAAAAATTAGCCGCCCCAAACGAAACCTAATATTCGTTAGGTACCAGAAGTTTGTTACTTTGCAACCATTTGAGCGAGTGCAAGTGGAGACTATTCCTCTGGTTAAGTTTTGCTCTAATGGTAAAATCATAAGATGGTTGAGGGGGAAGATCCTTGTCTAGATTTTACTAAAATGGCTTAATATTATACATTACACTAAAAATTCTGATATTCTAAATTTAAATGTATAATTATTAGCTTAATGCCAATCATATTTTAACACAATTGATAAATCATATATATATTTATGTTAACATCATTTTGCTTATAATAATTTAATTATTTAAAAAAAATCTCACCTCTATTAATTAATCTACATATATAATTTTCATTTTTGTATTTATGGATGATAATAATATAGAAAATGCCTATCAAAATGCTTTATGTAGAACTCTTAAATAAATAAATAAATAAACCTTTTTTTTAGCAAAATTCAAATATTTGTTTTAGATGATATTTATGATCTTACAAGTAAGGCTTCGTTTGAGACAACTTTTTTTCTGCTTCTTAAAACAGTTTTTTTGTAGAAAAAAATAATTTTTGTACTAAAAAGCTGTTTTAAGAAGCAGTAAAAAAGCCGTCCCAAACTAAGCCTAAGTCTTAACCAACAGATTTCACATATCAACAAAAGAAATGCAATTAATGGTTGTTGATTTTAATGCAATGATAAAAAATACATCAAACAAAATTTAGGATTCATCTGGGATAGCATTTTTTAGAGTTTTCTAAATAAACTTTTTAGTAAAAAAAATGTTAAAGTATAAATTTTTGTATTAAAAAGCTGTTTTAGAAATCAATAAGAAAATTATTCCAAATGATGCCTTAGGTTTCGTTTGGGACAACTTTCTTTCTGATTCTCTAATTTTAATTTATTAAATATATTTTAATTTTGTCGCCCCTGATCTCTTTAAATCCTGATCCTAACACTCATTTGTTCTATAACACCCATTGATCAATCCCATGCCATTTTATGTATTTATTCTTATTATTTTTTTCATTCAAGCTATATATATATATGTGTATATACACACACATTATACTCTCTAAAATTAATCTACATAAAATTTATTTGAATTAAATATATAAGCTGACTCAATAAAGATGATGAGAATATTACACGTTTTTACAATAATATTTTTTTTATATCCATTTAATCATGAGATTATGGGGAATTTAAATTTTTACAATATTGTTTCAGGAGTATTATTTATCTCCTTAAATAAATATAAGATGCATCTCTTTTTTTATTCTACAGTGAGGAAATGAATAATAAAGAAGAATAATATTCAAATACAACAATCAAGCCTTTATGGCTTTATCCCACTACATTTTTTTTTTTTTTTTTTTGGGGAAACCCACCAACGGGCCTACGCGTTAATATAAGGGAAAATTACAGAGTCCTTAAAAGGGATTTCAAGCTCATTACCGCTCAAAGAGCTAGCTACAGTCAAAATCAAAAAGAAAACCTCAGAGCCCGAATTCCCTACTAAGAAAAATTACATATAAATCTAGTAACATTCTAAGTTCCAAAAAAAAAAAAAAAACAGGAAGGGAACCAAAAAAATAGCCTAATCTCACAATCAGCACACGTACCCTGCATAAAACGAGCGCACAGCTCCAAAAACCTGCAAAACAGGCAAACAAAGGTACTCGAGAAGAGAATAAGCTAGCAAAAAGGAAGGAAAAGAAAAACAGTAATTTAAAAATAATTAAAGGAGAAACTCCCAGAGAACCCAGACAACCAGCCTCAACCACCACAACCAAGAGGAAAGCAAAAAGGCTCAAAACAAACCTCCTAAGAAAGACAGCCAGCAACAACCAGAACAGAAAAACCCCCACCCTAAGCAGCCAAAACAAAACGCTAAACCCGATCTCCAGCAACCACAGAAACCAGCCATAGCAACGAGCAAGAAAAAGGAACACCAGAGAACCAACGAAACACACACAGCACAACCAGACCAGAAACCAACCTCCAGAACCCCACCACCAACGGACCCAGGAACAAACAACAACCACCAAGAGGAAGAGACAACAACCACCACCAACAGCAGCAAATAAACCCACAAAAAAAATCAAAGACAGAGGCTAAACAACTAACCCCCCCAAAACATAAGGAACCTTACGCTTATCCAAGAAAAACAGGCCTTGAATATTCACAGGTAAAATATCAAAATTGAGATCAACAATAGCATTAAAACTGCTACCAAAGAACGATAACGCTCTGGCAACAGAGTTAACCTCCACATTGATAACGTTAAAAGAGCAATTCAAGATCTCCATCAAACCCATAATATGTCTACGCAGGTAAAAACTCGAATGCCCACAGCTGGTACCATCTTGAACCAAGAACATGGTAGGGTCAACAAAAAAATTGCTTTCCACCATCACATTATACAAATCCAAAT